AGCTATTGATGGTTAAATCTTTTGCCATCGGGTAAAATTCTGGGAGAAAACTTCTATTTGAAATTATAATCGTACATACTTGATATATCTATATGCTAGGTTGTATTGTTTTATTTACTTGCTATTAAACTTTATTTTTGCCGATTTCCGTTTGGTTTTTTCTTTCGGTAAGTATCTGTCGATCTACTACTTTGGGGCCTATAGCATACATCTGGCACTTAATTACTGCTTATATTTCATTATACAGAATTTAAAAAAAACACTCTGTAGGTATTGTTGGTACCGCCTTTCCTTTTTCAAATTTTACTGCGTTTATATATTATAAAAGTGTGTTTGTTCCTAAACAAGCGTTCATTAACTGTTGGAAGACAATTATAGAAGTTAAATTTTTCACTGTAAAAACTGTCATTATAATCGGAAAACACCTATTCACCATGTCTAAAAGTATTGACTGTGTTGTTTGTAAAAAACGCACAAATAATTTTAATCGAAGAACTCTTAACGGAAAGAAAAACGAAGTACGTAGGACTGAATTGGCACGTATTACCGGAGGAAAGGTCACTGTGGATGACCACATTTGCACAAAATGCACCCTCAATTTTAATAGAGGGAAGCTTCAGACTTCTAAGGGCTATGTTGATGTTGAAACTTTTTACATCGGCACAAAGTCACATTGTGCTATTTGCAGGTCACGTAAAAAGTCCATGAAAACTGTTTCTAAGGAAGCCTGCACACAGGTATTTCTAAAGCATAATGTTATATTGCACGAAAAAGCACGTGCATGTTCCTCTCACATCTCCGATGAACGTATGATTAAAGATAAAGATATTAATGAAAACTTTCACCGGATGAAAAAGGGTGCTACAAAATTGTCTTCGAGTGATTTAAGCAATTACTTATCTCAATGCAGGGAACTTTTGTTAAAATCAGAAAGTACACGAGTAGATTTCGACAACGAATCCCTAAATGACGAAGATTATAATATTAACTTGACTGGCATCAATAAACAGGATTTTGAAACACTATGTTCACAGGTTCATGGACTAAGACAGAATAAATATTCAAAGAAAACGGTTATAGGGATTGTTTTAACAAAACTTAGAACAGGTCTCTCCAGCACTGTACTTAAGACCATATTTAACATTAAGAGAAGCAAGTGCATTTGTCATATTGTTAAACGTGCAAGAACAGTTTTGATGGACCAATTTGTACCTAAATATATAGGCTTAAGTCACTTTACAAGAGCAGAAATCATAGCAAAACATACAATAATATTCGCTCGCGAACTTCTTGCCTCTGGTGACGACGACACTGCCATATTATTAGTAGATGGAACATACATAGCGCCAAATATAGCTCTCAGAGAAGATCCTTTAGTATAGACAAGGGTCGGCCCCTTGTAAAACCAATGATTTTGTTGCATCAGATGGTTACAGTCCCTGAAACGTTCTACTTTCCCATTTTCCCGTTCGCTCTCCGTTCACTGTTTTGCGTTCAGCGTTCACCGTGCGCTCGCGTTCACCGTTCAGAAAGCGTCCAGCGTTCGCTCTTCGTTCATTCACTTTGCGTTCAACTTGCGTTCATGGTTCACTTATCGTTCAGTCTTCACTGTCATTCGGAACTCCAAAGTGAAAAGACTTATGGTTTTGTACAGTGTAAGTAAGGATTTACAGCTTTTGCAATTTAATAATAAACATATCCTGTCTAAAGAATCATTATTTCCTGGGAAAAATTATCTACAATATTTTTTTATTATTATTATTTTAACTTAGATTTTAGGTTATTTATTAATGTACCCTGGAAAATAATTGTTGTTACATGTATGAGTATGTACCTATGTAGAACGATGCTGAAAAATTAAATTTAAATACGGGAAATATACAGATACTTCAAGCCCATTTTGTTGTAATGTCAAAGACGACAAATCGTTACATGTAATGGATAGATAATAATCCAAGTCAGTTAATTTACTAACTACAGCAAAATTATAAATATATAGAAAATATTTATTTTTATCACTTTTTTTCAATTACTATAGAAATAAATATTAGAACTAGTCCTGAGAATTATAAAAAGTACTGTGGATATCCAATTAATTAAATATCTTTGAAGCGGATAAAATTGTTAGTGTGGTTTAAAAAAAAAATATTTCAAAATATAATACACTACAGAATTTTTTTTCTACTTTACATATATAAAATTATAAAAGTCTATAGTTAGAGAGAAAAAAATTCCTTCCTTCATGATCACCGTAACTTTTGATGTTTGAAATTCGATATGTTTAATAGCCTAACCCCCCCCCCTTTCCCCTTAATCCGTTATATTGTACTTAGTCAGTATTTCCAGTGTATTTTAATTAACAAATTAACATTAAAAAAGAAGCTAATGCGTTTTGTAGCGCAAAAATATCAGTCTCAAAACATACATGCATCTAATAAAAATCATTAAACAATTGTATTTTAAATACACGTGCCAGCGATGGTATTTTAAAATGCAAGGAATATGTCTCACATTCACGCGGCTGAATCATTCCAAGTGTTTATTCCCATGGGTCAATGTATTTTATTTATTTAGAAAACTAGTGTCGAATGATTTTGATTGACAGGACAAGCACGTGGACTTCGTGTGAACATGAAGCAGGAAAATAGATCTAAAAACCGATAATCTGATAATGACTGTTAAACAAATGGATTTGTTGATTTAAAAATTGGTACTTTCACTGCTTGATATATTTAGAAAAACAATTAAGAATTTTTGTTTGATACAGGTACAAACATTTGGAGAAGGGGGGGGGGGGCTAAAACGATATCGCTCTTCTCTCTCTCTCTCTCTCTCTCTCATTTGTCTGTCTGATAAAACCATGACAGTATATTACTTTTATAATTTAATCTCTAACAAATAATATGAATATGAATGCCTCTTTGTATCATCTTGACCGAGTATAATCACTGGGAAATGTCCTCAGATACATGTAGAAGTCTGCTCAATAAATCATCATAAAAAATAGAAATCACACATAAATATATTTTTGCATTAAATTTTAAAATGCGAGTGTTTTTTTATGCAATACGTCCACGGACCTTTGTAAAATATTTTAATTTTTTTTCTAGTTATTTTACACGGAATCGCCTTGGCACGGAAATACATGCATGGATGTTACAACCGTTGTAATTTATTCTATAAGTCAGTAATTTTCCCTTCTAAAATCCACATTATTTGTTACGATTTTATTTATCAGATAAGAATAAACATATTTACTTTACAACTAGAATAATTTTATCTTTTATACTACAGTGTTTGGTAACAATTAAAATATTTTACAGCGATAAAAATCGTGCGATTAAAACAGTTTTAACATCATACATATGAGGAGAAAATATTGTAAGAAGCTCAAATTAATAGTTGTACTTAATGTGCATGTATTGTCTTTCTTAGGCGTTTGAAACCTCTTTCTAAGCGTTTGTTCACCGTTCGTTCAGCGTTCGCTCACTGTTCAAGTGGGAAAGTAGAACGTTTCAGGGACTGTACATTATTGATATCCTGGGTCCATATCTGGCGGATGGGAAAAACAATGACGCTAGTATTTTGAATAAAACTTTACTAAAAGATGACACTTTACCAAATTGGGTAAAAGAAAATGACATTTTTGTTTTAGAAAGAGGTTTCAGAGATTAATTAGATGTCATTGACCTATCTACATACCGGTAGCTGCAATGGCGAAGTTGAAATTTCGCACTGAAGTATGCAATTTTATTTAATCGATATTATGTATATGTAGAGAGTCTCTCTATCAAAAAGCTTTTTAAACGTATCTATGCATACCATACTTGAATCTCTAAGCTAAAAAATCCAATGTTCTAGTTTGAAAAGGAAAAAAAATGGTGTTTAAAAAGGGTGGGGGTGGGGGTCGCAATGTTATTAAGATTCATTCTTTATTAAGAAAATGAAAAAGCAATGGCAGATGTGAAATACATACAAATACAAACAAAAAATACAATATGGTAATACACATAGACTTTGAAATTAATACATTGAAACAAAATACTTGTATGTCGTATTCACTTCCTATTCACTTCAAAAACAAGAAAATTTAAGTTTATTAGCCCAAAAGTAGTATTTTTATAGTTTAGAAAGTCTCTTTCAAAAATAGGGGAAAAAAAACTAAAGCTTATAACTTGGACTTAATAAATAAATTACCAATAAATTAATAAAGAAAATTTACTTTTCAAGTGGTGACAACGGGCAGCTGGTAATTTGTAAGAGTAGAGTTAAGTTTTCCGCACTGATAGGAATGAGCCCGAGCCTCAGTACTTATAGAAGGAAAACTGGTTAAACAAGATTTACTGGGGGTATAAACCTATTGGCCAATGAATTTTTTGAGTAGAATTCATGAATGAAACCAAAACACGACCTGGCTACTAGTAAACATGGCATATAGTAAATAATAGCTCAGCTAATTCTTATGAACAAATCGAAAAATTATTTTAAATAAATATTACTGTGCCACATTATTCTAGTGCAAATGACCAAAACTTGCTTACAAGAGTGAACATGTTATAATTATTTTATTCAAGAATAATTTTCCATGAATACTTTCTTTTTATATTTTTGATACTTCTTGTCACGAGACCTGTCAAAAAATGCCAGGTTTGCTTGGATAGTTCTATTCAAATGTTTCTTAAATAAACATATAAAATACATGTAGAAGTCCACATGGCCAACTCAGTTTTTTTTAATCATGTCCTATCAAACGGGATAAATATGTTTATTGTAATATTGTCAATATCTTATTCAACAATATTTCACGTAGAATAAAATTAAACAATGTTCTGAGTATAACATGCCTATTATTTGTCCTTCAAAATGTCAAATACTTGTGATGAAATGCAAGATAATAATTTTTACATCAAAGAAAGGACAAACAGGATCATCTACATGTACGATCTCAATTCTAATATACAGATACATGTATCTTGAAACTGTTTTTTTTTTTTTATCAGGTTGTAATAAAACCTTTTATGGAAAAAATTGTGAAAAAAAATGTTCAGTCAACTGTGAAGATCAAAGATGTAACATCGTAAATGGAACATGTATGAGATGCTCTAGCGGGTGGACAGGACAATTATGCAAAAATAGTATGAACGTTATGATTTCATTCTCCAGTCTAGTTTAGTATTAGTTGTTTACTTTTTGAAGTACTTGTAAATATTTCACGCAGAACTACATGTATATATAGTATTATCGATTTGTTGTATATAATCGATATTGGGGTACATTTCTTTTACTAGAGTGTCCAAGTGGAATGTATGGGTTTGATTGTAAACAAAAATGTTCCGTCCATTGCATAAACAATGAATTTTGTAATCACGTCACCGGTAATTGTGACAATGGATGTGCTGATGGATGGATAGGCATGAACTGTACAGAAGGTATTGCAAAATATTTATGTATCTTTGATCTTTGCAATATTTTTAATTAGAATTGAAATATAAAAAGCAACCTATCTCATAATTTCTAACATTCTTTATTGTAATTCATTTTATTTCCTGAGTGCGTCATCTTATACCTATTTGTGCATTTTAATATTAAATAATGTTAATTGTTTTCTTTTTCTTTAATAGCAAAATTTTACAAACAAATATATTCAAATATGGATAACAAGTAAACATATTAATAGTGTGCTAAAGTTTGTGGTATATGTTTATTCTTAACAGCATGTAAAGATGGAAACTATGGTCCCGGTTGTGTAAATAACTGCAGTGGTCACTGTCTTGGGGATGTCCTCTGTAACAAACAAACGGGACACTGTGACACAGGGTGTAAACCGGGATATACAGGGGATTTATGTGATACAGGTGAAGGATACAAAAACAAAAACTAGAAATTTGAATTTTTTTGAGAGATTAAAATTTAGATCATAATTATTTCAAATAACATTATAATGACATAAGTGAGTAAAGGCTAGGTATAGGCGATTCTATGCAAATAGACTTATTAAAATACCTAAGAGCCATACCTCTTATACAGAGAAAGTTAAAATCCATTGTCCATAACATACTTCGTACTTGCGATATGATAAAGCCAGTACACATTATGCGTTACATAATGACGTCATTGTTTTTTACTACACAAGATTATAAAGAACATCAACAGCGCAAAAGCATATCCTTTTTTTAAACAGAAATAAGGTATAATTAGTAGCAGAATATCCAAGTTATTGATGTAATTACTGCACAAATATCAACATCTCAGTTTTTCAGATCCTATTAATAAAGTCATAAGTTTACATTATGGGGTAAGAATGCGTAGGTAAGAACAATGACGTCATAATATTATGTCAAAATGTGTACTGATTATATCAAGTCGTGGGTACCACGTAAATATACGAAAAATGAGTTAAAACAGTCTCTGTATAATAGATATATGATATAATACAGGCACGTAGGAAGCAATTTCAGATGGGAGGGGGGGGGGGCACAAAATTAATTTTTCAGTTTTGGCACTAACAAATATTCAAATATTATTGACAAGCGAAAAAAAATCATCAGACGTTATAATTGATGGGGCACAAGCATACAATGGATATGTTATTAGTATAGTAATAATAATAATAGTATTCTATATACTGGCTAAAATATCGGGGGCACCCCCGTGCACACCCCCCCCCCACCCGTTTCCTATAGCCATGTAATAAATACTTCATATGCGATTTTATTAGCTCGTTTGCGAAGAAATGCAAAATGCATATACATTGTCTTAACACACCTGCAAATATTCTATTTACTATATTTTTCATTTCCTTGATTTAAATAGCATGTGACCGTGGATACTTTGGGAACCAATGCAAAGAACTCTGCAGCAAAAACTGTTTGAATGAGAAGTGTAGTCACATTGACGGTGTATGTAAAAATGGTTGCAAAGATGGACATATCGGAGAAAGATGTAACGAATGTAAGGAAAAATTACAGTTTTTATTATGAAGTTTGTGTTTAAACCTGAAAATGGATTTAGTTTGTGCTTGATTTCAAAAAAAAGTATTCCCCTCTTTACTAATTTAGCCCATTGCAGGTAACACATGTTATATAACTTGATTATAAGTTAGGAATTTCTTTAATCCTCTAAGCTATGTGCAAAACAAATTATACGTTTAGCATTAAGTCCAACACCCTCTTATTGTCTTCTGGCATTGTCCAATAAAACATGACAAATTATGCCCTTTATCCGAGAGATTTTACTTCGAATCAATTCGTCAGAGAAGATTAAGCCCTGAATCGTGCACATTGCTTCAAAACTTTGAATCATTTCGCTTAAGGAGTCATGAGCTATAATCCAGACATGATTTCAATATCTAATAAGCCAATAACCTTCCCATACATAAAATGAATCTTTTTAAATTAACCGATATGATATGATTGTACATGTATGTCTCTTCCCTGCACTGGGAAAACTAACTACAGTTTTATTCTCTTAACACAATAAGAAAAATCGTTTTAGCCTGTCAGCCGGGGTATTTTGGGAGAAAGTGCTCTGGTATTTGCTCTCATAGATGCATAAGTACATGTAGGTTCACAGACGGATCCTGTATCTGCAACCACGGTTGGATGGGCTCAAATTGCAGTGAAGGTACGTGCTAAATTGATGCAGATATGCGACATATCCCTATAGTTCTATACATGAAAATCAAGTAAATGATAAAGTCTACAAATAAATACTTTCTTTTGCAATAACAGTAAATTTCAAAAGCAAAAAATTATTAAAAGTGCAATATAACCTTAAAACCTAGAATGTGAAAAAGTGAAGATAACGAACAGTGATCGATCTCAAAATATCAACAAATAATACAAATCTGTGAAAAGAGAAAAAAAACACGGACCACAAATTCTAGAGTTGGGATCAGGTACCATGGGGGGGGGGGGGGGGGGGGGGGGGTTAGCATCCCCTATTGACCTTTCACACCTGCCGTGAGCTCTGTGTATTAAATTAGAAGATGAAACACTCCGGAGTTAAATTTATCACAAAAACAAAGGCATAACATTTGGTATGGAACACCACAGCCAAAGTGCAACCCAATGATATGTTATAAATGTGTTTGTTAACAAGACCATAGAATTCACGAAATGCATACTTCAAATGAGGTTGTTAAAATCCCTGTAACATCAACTAATCTGTCAGTAGCCTGCCTCAATGATCGTCGTGAAAGCATGCTATTAAGTATCGAATAAATTGGGAGACGTAAACACCATATTGAGGTGTTTATAGACGTTTAACGGAATACAGCAAAACTCCTCAAAAATCCTGAGAACCTGCAAATTTAATTCACTATATCCGTATTTCCTTATATTCGTCTAAAATATATTGAATTCGCAGTAGATTTTTCCCGTCAAGTATGACTATCAAATGGATTCGTGGTAGTTTAAAATATTATAGTTACTTTGGAGTTCAAAAGTTTTAGGATGCTCAAAAATAACCAGATCAATTAGATCAATATTTTAAAGTTGAGATGTAACAAAATTAGTTCGTTATATCAGTAAATTCGCTATATCCGAGTTTGATGTATCCGTACAGTTTTTACAAAGAATTGTAAAGAATTTTACAAGGGGACCAAAACAAAAAAACTTTGCTATATCCGTAAATTCATTATATCCGAGTTCGTACTAAACAAGTTTACTGTATTACAATGAATCTTGTCTGATCCGACTTGCACTAGGAGACGAATTTTGTGTCGGAATAGAAAGGGATTGTAGTGTAAAAAAAACATGGAAAATAGTACAACGGGGACGAAATCTAACGTCGTAATTCACAGTGTGACGGATAACACAGGTGTCGGATTAGATAGTTTTCATTGTACTACATAAGTAAGGAAAGTTAACGATAGAAAAGGTTAAGTCATCTCGTTTTACAATTTAGTAGTTAATTTGCCCTTAACGTAAATAATCAGTAAAACATCTAAATATGAAACAGATTTGGCGGACTTTGTTTTTTTTTTTTAATTTCAAGTTCACTGGGATATGTGGAGTCGACATATAAATGTCAGTAACGATTGCTAATTCATAAGACGTCGTTGATATATCTGAATGTCGAGTTGAAGGCCACAGCAATTATTTTCTTCTTCTCATGTAGAAGTTTATGAAGAAATTCTGCTTCGTGGGAATATAAAAACATGTCGGCTAATAGAGGAGCACAATAACTGCCCATTGAAATTCCAATTTTTGCAAAACCTGGTCTCCGAAGACTACATAAATGTTGTCAATGAGGAACTTCAGCTTCCTCTTAATATCAACATAAAGTACTTTTGTTAAGAATCAAAGAAATTTCTAACAACTCAGTTTTGTTGATGACAATAAGAGTGTTTCATGCCATATGTCTATCAACACTCATATCAGATTTTAAGCTCATATGTTTTACAGTAAAACTTTTCTAATCCGAACATCACTTGTTCCATAGAAAGAACAAGGTACAGTTTCAATACAAATGTTGCCCAGCATTTTTCAAAAATACGAAAGTGATGTACGGAATTAAAACCCATGCTTTCTGAGTTGTTGAAATTCCATGCAGTAAGAATAATAAAATCGTTTTTGTCTTATGACTTCCTAAGGGCTAATTGTGACGTCATAAACTTGTGCATTTTTCCGTATTTTTTTTTTAAGTTGCAGAAGACATCAATTTTCAGTGAAATTTTCTTTCAGATAATATAGAGCACATGCATTGCCAACAAAGATTTTCAGAAATATGATTTTTCAAAGGATTTTACACTGCATATCCAAACATTGCAGTGGGCGACGGCTGTGAACACTAATTTCTTAAGGAAAATAACCCCAGAAATGAGTCATTTTGAGGTTTTTCTGTTAAAAACTTAGAAATATACCAAATTAATGACGTCATATTTCCAGAATGGGCCTCCTTCATGCCGTATTCTACGGAAGCCGGTTGGTGCCAGGTAGAAAATATATTTTATCTGGCGGCCGCCAGAAAACTTTCTGGCGGCCGCCAAATAATTATCTGGCGGCCGCCAGTTATTTATCTGGCGGCCGCCACATAATTATTTGGCGGCCGCCAGAAAGTTATCTGGCGGCTGCCAGATAAAATATTTTTTCTACATGGCACCTACCGGCTTCCGTAGTATTCTTTCATGGTTTATCACATTCATATACTCAACTCATATTTAAGCCGATTTCATAACTTTTTGAAAACATTAAATTTTAAGGGCACATTAAAGCCCAAACTGTACCTTCTTCTTGGCCGGATTAGAGAGCATTCATGATTAGACAACATTTAAATCAACCGAATTTACAAAAAAGAACTGAAAATTAACTTCGTATTAGACAAGCTTTTGGAATACACAACGTCCTGATTAGACATTAGTCAAATTCATATTGCCATTTACATGTGTAATAATTAAATACTTAAGTAAAATTTCATCATTTTTGTACACAATTTAATTCTTTTATGGATTATTTTTTCATAGAATGCCTTCAGTACTATGGGGAAAACTGTCAAATTCCCTGCAGTGAATATTGTGTGAACCGCACATGTGACAGATTCAACGGAAGTTGCTTAGCTGGGTGCAAGGGAGGAGCCTATGGAGAAAAATGCGACCAAGGTTTGTGAATTTTTACTTATTATTCAATAACTATTACTCATTATTTATTTTCTTTTCATAATCGTTTTAATCAATTTTCTTACTTTAATATTTGCTCTATCAATTGCGTGATAAGTGAGGGAATGAAGGATGGCATTTTCTCACAGCGTATTCATAAATTATTGTGTTGTGCTTGATGGTGATAGGGAAGAAATAAAGCCAAATTCCTTTTTTTACATAGGAGTAATTTCAGCATATCAGGTATCCAATGCTCCTTCATCTGATACACTTACTGCTGTTGGGGTTGTTGTTTCGTTAGCTGTTGTTATCGTCATTGTTGTTTTGGTCATTTTGCTTATCCGGTATGTACTCATAGCTGTGTCATGTGAGCCTGAAAAGATAGAAAAGAGAGTCACTTAAGTGGCTTGTTTCTTTTTTTTTCTTTTGTGTTTTTTGTCTGTCGCGGTGCGTAAATGCCTCATGTTTACAATCTAAAAATTATATGACATTTCTCTTTTTCACGCTATGAAAAAAATACGAATTAATCTTTACATTATGAATTGGAATATATTATTGTAGATATAAAAGACAATCTTCAGAGACGTTAGCTAAACGTAAAGATTTTGTGAACATGAAGCCTATTTCTATTGTGGAACAAGTGACCAGAGAATCCTTGTCGGAATGTAAGGTCATATGGAGAACTTAATTAATTTAACAATTAAAAAATTAATATAAATAAGAAATAGTACTGTAGTTTCATTATTTATGGTCCTTCTTAAAGTTTAAAAACATTTCAAAACTTTCAAAATATTTTAAAAGCATTATTCGCATTATTTGTTTATTTAAATAGCAAAACAACATTCCCATGTGCATTATTTAAACTATTTTTGCTGATTCTGGAGATATCGTAATGCTCTGGTTGGCAGAGAGTACATTTATTTAAACAAAACAAATTGAACTTGTTTTTTAGTGTAAAAATAGCAATTTAACATTAGATATGAAATAAAACATTGAAACACTTCCTTATCTAAATTTTTATCTCATCAATGAAAAGTAATTATTCTCTATCAATAAACGCTTCTTTATCAACATTTTCAAATGATAATTGTTAAATATTAATTCTTATTTAGAATGATTTGACTATATTGAAAGATTTTCTTAAAATTAAAAATTGTGCAACACATTTATTTTCATACATTCACTTTGATTTATAAACGGTGCACTGTGTACCTTTTGGAACGACTTTGTGTTGCTTTATTTTAAACTTTATGATAAAGTAAGACAGGAAAAATGCCACGCGTACGAAGGGATGGTATATGTATTTTGCAGACAACAACCTTAATAATGCAAACATTATCCGTAACTCAATCAACAATGATGTTGCAAACGAGACCGCAAAGAGAGGCCCCCCGACGAATAAATGTATACCAGTGAACAATTTACGAGCCATCATATCTAAAATGTCTGCCACTGAAGATGCTGGCTTTCAATATGAATATCAGGTATGTCCTTGAATAAAAATCTCAGAACTAAATGTATACTCACTTCCTATGATACCAGTGGTTCTCTGGTACCGGTGTATTTCTAATTTTTCTGTCGCGTGCAAAAAACGACACCTGGAGGCCGGCTATTTTTAGAGATGAGAAGTGATACCCTGCTGACAAGAACTATCTAATTTATTTATGAAATGTTACGTCGTTTGGTAAGTAATCAGCTATTTTTCACAAGACCCATAGTTTCTGTGTTATTTTGCACCACTCTTCATACCAGACACCGATAAAGTGTTATTAACAACTAAATTGTACACCATTTTCCCAGACAGACTTCAGCTTTGTTGTTGTCTGATGTATTATGGTCACGTGACATGTCAAAAAATATATGGAACGCTGTTCCTGGTAAATTATACAGATTTTCAAGGGCGAAATAATAGTGAACGTTCACTTGGAAAGGACCTAAGATGTCAAAAGTCCCCCTCCACTTCCTTGAGCAACTGTTGGTTTTATAGTTTTCTGAAGCGTTGGCCGGATCTCAAAGTTCTCTCCCCACAAAAATGAACAACAAACCGAGCAGAGAATGCCTCTAGAGAGAAGGTAAATGCTTATTACAAAGAACTGTCAACCATTCTAACTAACCATGATCTTAGAGAAAAGCCAGCCCGAATCTACAACATAGACGAAACAGGGATAAGTACAGAACACTCCACCAAAAATAATCTGCAGCAAAGATACCAAACCTCAATCAGTCACATCTTTTCGGACATCTCTCACAACTATTATTGCAGCGGGGAATGCCATAGGGAACCACTTACCACCTTACTATGTCTTTAAAGGGAAAAGGTGGAGTGATGAATTCCTCAATAATGCTGTGCCAGGTTCAGAGGGTGTAATGACTGAGACAGGTTGGTCCAATTCTGAAGTATTTGAAAAATATATGATGGACTTCTTCGTTAGACAACTGGAGTTACAAAGGAAAAAGACCCAAAGCCAACTTTAATCCTTTTATGATGGACACAAGTCCCATATAAGCCTCACATTGACAACCTGGGCCAAGAAGTATAACATTATTTTATTTGTGCTTCCTCCACATACAAGTCATTTGACGCAACCCTTAGACGTTGCAATTTTTGGACCCCTGAAAGCCATTTACAACAAAGAGTGCCAACTTTATCTGCAAAAAAAATCCTGGAATTAATATTACCAAGCATTTAGTGGCAGAACTAACAGCCAAACCCTATTTACGAGCGATGTCCCCTGAAAACCTTATTTCAGCATTTCGGAAAACTGGCATATTCCCATTTAACAACAAGGCAATCTCTAATTCTGAAGTAGCCCCTTCTACTATTTATTCTGCCATCATAGATGATCATGACAAAAAGACCTCTTCTGGTTCAGAGAAAATAAAAACAAATGTTACACATCCTAAAGAGGATGAATCCCAGGTTGATGGAATGGAATTCTTTGAATCAAAGAAAATTTTAAAAGTAAAGAAACCACAGAAAAAAGTTCATTCCCCCATATATTGCAGGGAGTTTGATGAAAAAGAAAATCAAAAAAAAAATCTGGAATCGGCCAACAAACAAAAGCAAGCTAAATCTGAAGAGCCTAAAGCATTAGCCAAGACCAGGACATCCAAGGTATCTCGACAGAAATGCATTTCATCCAAAACCTCTGAAACAGACATGAAATTAACTAAGAATACCCAATAAAAAGCATTCGTAGCAGTAAGTGGACTATCAACATCAGGGATCAACAAACAAGGGGGGCCTTGAAGTGTTGAGGACAATAAAAGTGAAACTGAGTCTTTTGAAGCTGATGATGAGATGTGTTGTGTGTGCGGCCTATGGGAACTCAAGAAGTTGAAGGAATGTGTCAATTTGACTCTAGTTGATTGGGCCAAATGTGATACTTGCAGTCACTGGACTCACTTAAAATTTTGTAGTGATGTAAGAAAGGTTAAAATTGGTGATGTGTTTCATTGTCCTCACTGTGATATTAAGTAAATTGGAAACTTGAAGGATATTCATTTTTCACTGATTAGATGAATTTATTTTTAGCTAATTTAAAGGGAGATAATTTCTAATAGTATTATGTTAATTCATATTTAATTTAAAATGTATTTATTTTGAGAAAAATTTGTTGATTAAAAAAAATCAAATGCAAATTTTGTTTGATTTATGACTATTCTAGCTCGCAATACATTTGCTCCGGTACCAGAGTTATGTCCCTTGAATACACAAACGCAAAACCCGGATAGGTTTTTGTCTCTTTTACAGTAAAATATGTAAACAGTTCAATTACAACATCAGAAAAAGGTAATTTATTAGTTTTTTTATTGCAAAAACATGGTAAATGATTATATAAAACTTTCTTGTCCGATTACTTGACTTTCAAAGTTAAGTACACCGGTACCATAGGACCCCGGCATACCTATTAATAATTATGAATATAGAGCCATCTAAAAACTGTCATTAAATTTGATCACGAATTAGTTTGAGGATTATCATTTCGTTATAAATGGTGATTTTACTTCACTTGCTCATTTTGAAGCTTTATCTCTACTGAAACAAGACACTTCTTTACAGGATATTCCGAAAGGTGAACTTCATCCATGTGAGGAAGCCAATCGACCAGAAAATAAATCTAAAAATAGATACAAAACAACATTTCCATGTAAGAACATTACAATTTTGAGATATTTTTTTGATAGACAGACATATATGTACATTCTGTAAAGTATATAAGCTTTACAATTTTAACCTACAGATGACCATTCCCGAATCGTATTGAACACCACTTCGCCGAGTGAAGGGGATTACATTAATGCTAATTATATAGAGGTAAGACTATATAATATGTATCTATCAAATATCATACACTTCATTTTTACAAGTCGATGTCATCGAAGTACTCTAAAAATAGGCGTATTTAATGGAAAAACGTTAATATGATAACGTTTTCTTTTAGTTTTATCTTAGTGTTTTTCTATATCCTCTTGAATGTATTTGCACTTTTCAAATAAAACTGTGTCAGACATTAAACACGTCTCTTTTTGCTTATATTTTATCAATTATAGGATGTTCAGGGAAAACGCTCCTACATTGCCACGCAAGGTAAACTTAAATACCTTTAGTTTTAAACAACAATACTTGATTAATAGTGAAATTCATAAATAAAATTTTGATTATTCTACAGAAATACTAAAAATCTTTCATAAAATAAAAAAAAAAAATTATATATTTGTGTTGTACTCCAATTTTGTTTCTGTTCTGAATTGTTTGTTCTTTGTTTGTTTGTATCTCATTTTTAATTTAAAATTTTTTCTTGTTAGGTCCGAAACCAAAGACGATTGCTGATTTCTGGAAAATGATTTGGCAGGAGGATGTATCCGTTATTGTTTGTCTGACCAATCTCAAAGAAGGGGCAAAGGTCAGCTAAAGAATACACACAACAATATCTTTTCTTCATTTGCATAATAGTATCGATATCAGACAATTATTATCAAAACTTTGAAGTGTTTTTAATTTTTGAATGCAATATAAATTAAGGCATGCATTATTACTCCCTAAGGAAAATAAATTTTGTTCGATTCCAATGTGTTAACATGTAACAATTTCAAAAATCATCTGTAGGATATAAATTAATCGTATTTTTTTTTATAATATCTTTATTCCAGCTGGATATACGGATTCATTCCATCTTGCTGTTGTACATGAAATAAATGATTTATATAAAAAAAATCTTTCATTTCCTTATTTAGATCAAGTGCAACCAGTATTGGCCAAACATTAACGACAAATTACAGAGTGGAGGTTTTAATATCAGAAACATGGAAGAAAAAGTGTATGCTAATTATAATAAAAGACGCTTCAAGTTCTACAAACACTTGGTAAGGTTAAATTGATGACCTTGAAAATGAATTTAATCTTGTTAGCAATGATTTTTTGATAGTAAAAACATCATTATTCCTTAATTAAACGGTTTGTATAAACATATTCTTCATGTATAAGAATATGCCCTACTACAAAATGATTAAAATTATGAAAAAAGAGAAATTATAATCAACAAAGAGCAAGATCAGAAACAACGGAGAAAAGGTGTAAATTCAAGGTCTACATACACTTGATAACAATATATGGGTTGGCTTTGTGAAATAATTTAACCTTGTTAGCAAAGCAATGAACTAGTCAAATCATCTTTATTTTTAATACTGTATCGTCATATACTGCAATAGTTTGTATAACACGTATAAGCAGGTACAAGGTTTTATCCATTGCATTACAAGGGATGAAATTATTAGTTTGAACATATTTAATTGTCATTGAATTTAACAAACAGGATTAGGCAAAAGCATTAAAAATTATGTGTCCTTTCTTTGCATGTGAAAAATATCAAATATTTTACACCCTTTCATCTTAAAGTAATAATAATAAGTTAATGTAATAATTAAACTTAACAGAAAAATTGTAAAAATGGGAAAACAAGATAAATACATTCAAATGCCTGTTATTTTGTCACGGGAGATCTTTTAAAAAAATTAAAAGTGATGTGATACTTTTCAAAAAATAAACTTAAAATTGAAACAAAATGCTATTTATAACTGTTCATATTTGAAATTAATCATTGAGAATCTCTCATATGATTGCAGGAGCAAAAGGATAGAGAGGTGGTCATGTTTCACTACACAAGATGGCCGGACCATGGAGTCCCCGATCCACTCAGTCTTGTCGTATTCCATCGTCACATGATGAGAATGTCTTCTAAATACCCAGGAAAATACATTGTCGTACACTGCAGGTTTTATGCATCTCTCTCTCTCTCTCTCTCTCTCTCTCTCTCTCTCATATGAAATTATCTTTTCATATGATTTTCAAAAACTTATTTCTATTTTTTAAAATATAGTGCTGGAATCGGTAGAACAGGAACATACATAGCTTTAGACGCCCTCTATCGGGAAGGGGAGAGAAATGGTAAAGTTAATGTACCGATGTACGTCAGAACCATGAGAAAAGACAGAATGAACATGATACAAGGCGAAGTAAGTCTTATATTGAAATTAATTCTTATTGAAGCATAATCGTTATCATGCACATAAAGACTGTTTTGAATGCAAAAATTCGATAAGGTTGAAAACACATATTATACAATATATTTTATAGATCATTTATATTCAATATCAATGCATATCATATTTCCGGACGTTGAAAGAGGATGATATAATTTGTTATTGTAGCTCTTCTTTGAAAGAATATGTTTGTCTCGATATGTGCCACTTTTGCATTCACATCTTACCAGGATGATTCATGACTTTTTTTCATTTATATAACATTCCAAATCCAGTTGGTCTTTATAAAAAAATTTATGTAGTCAAATGCAATATTTTATGACGCATTAAATAATATTTCTTAAAAAGATACGATTAGTTTATTGACCTTGAGAAAAGTAAATCACATATAATTTATCAAATTAAAATCGTGTTGTTTATGAATATAAAAGTTTTCTTTTATTTATTTGTCGTTTGTGTGTGAAAGTTACACGATAAGGCCAAAATAAAAAATACCTTTGTTTCCCCTAATGCGACCGACCCAATTGAAACGCGCCGACTGGAATGTTTTTTTTTCATAAGATTATCAACCTTATGCCTTTAGCATATAAGAATCCTACACTCTTGAAACACTTTGTTAATAAAGTATAATATACAATGTCCTATTAAGAGTGTGTTGGTTGTATTTACTAACCTGTCTTAAAATTAAGGTACGTAAAGAGAGCATGGTTAGATCCGTAGGCCCTCCTCATGACACCGCTCATGTGCAGACAAGGGCCCACTTTGTGAACACACCAATCAATTTAACTGCGTTTCATTTAATTTGAGCTTTGATCTTATGAACAGTTCATCAATATTCCTTAATCCTATATTTACAATATAGGACAAATTAAAGGAGTTGTAATTATGTCTGCATATTTCATCCTAATATAGAATTCAAAGGTCCTTTCTCCATGCCTTTTATTCATGGGTTAAACTTCAAGATTTTGACATTGTGTATGACATTTTATCATTTTTATATATGGTTTGTCTCAATTAAATAGTATTAACATACTTTTTCCAAATAGATTTGAAATTATGATACAAGCTCTGTGTATTTTTCTTCAAGGCCCTTAAAGATTGGTTGTTCCTTTGATTTGAATTCCTTTGATAATTATTGGAACAACAACTTTTATTTAAACATTTGTCTGGTGAAGGGCTACATTTAGAGTTGTACGCGGCTGTAAGGGATTTTTTTGTGCCAGTATCTACTGCGACATTGGACCTAATTTTTTTTTTTGGTCTCACTTGAAGAACAGGTCTCAACGTCCCCCACTGGGAATTGAACCTGCAACTTAGAAATAGCTCCTTACTTCGAGACTCCAAAACGAAATGCTCTGCAATCACTGCATATTTTGAAGCCCTGAAAAACTACATATATATACTCTGATGTCCAGTCTTTGCGTACCCGAGAATCTTATACACAGATGTATTCAATTTCAACAAATTTACTCTGGTATGAGATATTTTTCGATTGAATAATAGCTTTGAATAAAATTATCTTAAATGTTGAGTCTAAACGGCATCTGTATGGTATTCTAGCTGTGTACAATTTGCTCTCTTTTTTAAGGTATCATTCCATTCAATTTTAAGAATATATTTTCAAAGCTGCTGTCAAAAAAAAATTATTTGCCTACCTACCTACCCAACTTGGGATTGTTTGGTCGGGTTAGGGGAAACAAAGATATTTTTTATGATGGCCTGAAATCGGTTCTTTTCTCTTTTTTTAAATAAATCTTTGTAATATCTCACCATATTTTAATTTTCAGGAACAATACAAGACTGTCTATTTGGTACTTTACGAATCGTTCGTTGGGAAATCAAGATGCATGACAACTGAGGAAATTTTAAAAGGATATCAAGATAAATCTTGTTATGCCAATTGTGGAGAAGTTTCATCAAACCCTCTGTCTTCAGACTTTAAGGTACACGTTATTGCAGTAAATCGTGATTAAAGAGTGCTGATGACCTATATAAACATGCATCGTTTTGGTTTCTACAATTCGCAGCAATTCCTCTTACTTGATTGTAAAAACTGTCTTTGTTTTCTTTTTTTTAATTTGACGCATGATAACTATTTTAGGAGTTGCTATCTCTAAAGAAAACTTATACAGATGCTGAGCATGAATCCGGAAGTACTAATATAGAAGCCAACTACACAAAGGATGTCCTTCCTGGTATTGTCAAAACTTTTAATCAACTTTTCAAACTTAACTAACGTCAGCTTTTGAGCTGCTTTCCGTTAATTTCATTGTTTATTTTAATAAAAAATAAAGATTGTCTCTGTAAAAATGAACTGATTCAATGAAAATACTAACCTCGTGTCTTTTATTAATCTTCCATTTCAGTGGAAGAATTCATGTGCCGGTTAACATATACAAAAGGGAGATCAACATATTACAACGCTGTTTTTCTCCAGGTCAAGTATATGTGAAGGCATATGTGAAATAGAATTATATATCTAAAAAATTTGAGTTTTTTTTTAAAGACCCTCTGTACACTACTGAAAAAAGAATTGATATTGATAATCATTAGAAAAGTGGAAATATTGCGTTTATATTTTTCATTTTCAACGATAAATTTAATGACCAAGACAAACATTTTTTAAGTCTTCAAAAATTATTTAAATTATAGTATGAAAAAATAAATTGTGATAAATCCTTCAGGAAAAAAGCATGATCTTTATTAAAGAAAATAACATTCACAATAAACAGATTTTATAATCAGTCAAGATTGTTTTTGTGAAAAGGGGATACTGGTGAATTAAACCCTTGTATTGGTACATCTAATGATTTTCTTACCTGAGAAATATGTGTATTCTACGAGTCTTTCTTGGCTTAAAAATTAATTGCACCAAATCATGGTTTAAGAAAAGTATTCATAAAAAGGAAATGATATTTTTTCAGTCTTACAAAGAACACGATAGCCTTATCAGTGCCCAATATCCTCTCAACGACTACACTGAAGACTTCCTAAGACTGGTGAAGGATATGAATGTCAGTGTGGTTGTCTACCTTTGTCCATTATCTGATTTGGAATCCGTAAGTAACTCTGGTAGTTCCACCAGAATAATAATGAATATAAGAATTGTAGTCCACACAATGTAATTGACTTATTGGAATTCTTTCAATTTAGAAAAAAAAGAATAATATACTTCGAAGATGCAAAAAAGTAATATTGAATACATCATGGGAAGATTTATTTACAAAATGAATAAAAAATACGACTACAACTATTATAAATGTTTTGATGAAATAGGATATTAAGTTTTGATAGTTTTTTTTTGGGGGGGGGGGGGATCGGGGGAATGGGGTATTTTTCTTGAAATATTTACATCTTGTTAAGTTTAATTTCACTTTTTTTCAGTCTTCTCTTTGGTTTCCATCCAAAAACATGGAGAAAACTGTTGGAAGTTTTACAATAAAGCTAACTTCTTGTGAAGATTCGGCGAATGTTTCCAAAGCAAATATACTTATTAAACTAAAGGTTTGTAAAGTCAGCAATATTTAAATCAAAAACGTTTTTTATTTGGTCATTCAGAGAAAATACTATCCATTGTATGCATTAAATACGTCAAATCCTTTACATGGAAAACAGGGCTTAAGTTCAATGAAGGTAACCGTGCTAGAATGCCAAAAATGGAAAGAAGGACAATCTATCGCAGATAAAAGAGACTTAGTGGACATTGTCAAGGCGGCAAAAAGTGAAAACTTTGATCACGGAAACAGACTTCTCATACTCTCCAGGTAATTTCAAACAAAATTAACAAAGGAATTTTTTGTGAGAAATTTACTGATTATTTTGATTACTTATCCATATATACAGGGATCTGTTTACCATATGCTTTTATGGCTATCTGCTAGATTTTATGGAATAGCTAGAAGGCTTTCTGTCAAAAGCTGTAAAAATTACAAGACTACATACATGCAAAAAAAATTATATTAATCACACTCACCAGGTCTTAGAGATAGTAAGATTTTGGAATTTTACTTTAATAGTGATGGTGCCACACGTTGTGGAGCATTCTGTGTGGTTTATAACGCTCTGGAACAACTCTCAATGGATCAGGAAGTTGATATCTTCACCATCACACGTCAACTTCAGATCCGTAGACCGGAGTTTGTGTCTACCTTGGTATGTATTACATGTAACAGACCTACTTTCAACTTTTTTATTTTCCAGAATATATGTAACATTGATCAATTCAACACTATGTTTTGAAAACACTATGTTTCATATGATGTTATAAATTTCAGAAATTGTATTGTAGTATAGATACATACTTAGTTTGGAAATAAATGACAAGAGTGATTATTATTCATTATCAAATAATGTACATAATAACGACATCCTTATTCTGAATAAAGAAATGAAAATTCTGATTTAAAAAATTAATATTATTGTAATGTATTTATTTTTTAGGAGGAATATCAGCTTTGTCATGAGGCTATAGCAGAATATTTAAGAAATGATAGTGTATACGCAAATTTTTAGTCTAAGGGAGATTACCCTCACAAATCATTACAACGTTTTCCAAAGACAATATACGGTTTTTCGTTTTATTTGTGATTTAATGTGTTTTGTGTCCCCTGCAGACTGCAGTACTAAGGGATTACTTTACCCGGTGTCTGTCTGTCACACCCTATATCTCGAGAACTGTAAAAGGTGTGGATTTGATATTTTGCATGTAATTGCTTGGTACTATGACTTTTGTAAATTACTATGGTTACCGATCTCTAGACTCTTGACCTTATCCTTTGACCTACTTTTCTAAATACATGTAATTCACAGTGCCGATTAACAGCATATTTTTGACATTTAAGAGGGACACCTTTGCTATTTAGGAATTTGTGCACTGTTTGCAATAAGACGATATGAAAAATACCAGCATTACAATTCACTTGACCTTTGACCTCCTTTGCAAAAATACCCTGGACAGTTTATTCTAACTTATGATTTTTGAATTTTGAGAGGCAGGAGTTTGATAATTAGCATTTATACATGTTTACGAGTTCACGATACTGAATTTTGAAACTGTATGATATTCAGTTACCATACAAACTTATATTTAAATACCATGAAAGTACATCGGGATCGGTTTTCCACTATGGATCGTGTAGATTGACAATTGTAGTAAACACAGACTGAAATCTCTTTTGGAGGATTGTTGAAACACGTATTGATAAAATGATAAAATGATATTTCTAATAATTTCAATTTAAATATTCATTTGAGGGTTGGGGATCGAGCCATATTTTCTTTGAATGTCAGCTTCTATCGCAGTCATATACTACCCATGGAAGCCATTTTTTTCTTTGCAGGCAAATGCATTTGTACTTTCATGCTAGAAGTAAATAAAAAGCTGACCATTGTTAGATTTATGTACATCTTTAATAAAGCTACAAAGCAGGTGACACATGCGTTCCTTGGAACACTCTAGTTTTATGTTTGGTACTTTTATTTCTTGTGAGATCTAGGTGGAAAAGAAATGTAGAACTAGGATCTTTATTGGATTAAGATTTGTTCACTACTGAATTGCAACTCAATTTTATTTTTATTTCCCCCTGATTTTATACTCGTTTTATTTTGACTTGAAATCAAACCTACATTTGTTTTTATTATCTTATACCCTGAAATATTAATTTTTACATGATTATACATACATCTTATTATTTCATCTTATTCTGAATAAAATTTTTCTCCTTCAATTTTTTTTTAATTTTTTAAAAAAAATTCCTTTAAAAAGCGACGTGATCTTGGGACTAATTGAATTTAGATTTCTACATAATTCAAATTTTATACATGCATGGAATTATATACAAAAACTTATTCCTTTCAAAAACGTTTCTAAAACAAAACACATTGTAAAATTATTTTTAAATCTAAATAATGCATCGCTGATGGAGTTTCCTCACATCAAATGTCTATAAAAATAGATGAGTTCTCACGGCGCATGATTTTCTTGCAAAAAGGAGTGAAACTGGATCATATATATATAGCTTACTGACACTCACTGTTCAACTTCTACACATAAATATCTGCAAAAGCATAAAAATAATTATATAAGAAAATTTTTCAATAATTTTGTGCTCTTTTCTTTGTTTCTTGTCCCCAGATGACCTTGAAGCATATTTGTTAATGAAGAGCACAGCCAATGACAAAACTCTATACTTTTTGTTGTATGGGTTATTTAAATATTATTCTTAATTTTGAATGTTTGGTACATGAGTGAATAGTCCTGATTTACGTAGAATAAAAACTTCGGTTCAGTAAATAATGAGTTTTCGGTTGAGGCAAGGGCCCAGGGGAGCCAGATAAATTCAAGAAAAACTCCTGTAATTTTTTTAGAAGTTTCGTGACTGCGTGATTTGATTTGAAAAATTTAATACGTATTTTAAATAACACAATATAAATGAATTACTTTGAATTCGAATGCATGCATGCGTGCATCGGAGAATTTATGTTTCTCTTTAGGTAATTAATATGCATTCTTTTCCTACTAGTTCTTCAATCTTATCATTCATAGTAAAATTATTTAATTTTGGGGACAAGGCAAGGTTTTAGTTTACGTGTATAAGGGGACAGACAGAAAGTCACTAATAGACATAGATCTGAATGCCTGAGATGAAAAGTATTTCTTCTAAATAATGGGGTTAATTTTCTCAATGTAATAATAAAGGTATCTCGTACATGAAATCTCTTTCTACAAAGCAAAATCTAAGACTGATTGATGATTGAATTTTGTTTAACATCCCACTCGAGAATTTTTCACTCAAAAGAGACGTCACCTGCTTTAGATGAAGTGCAACAAATTTTTGCCTTTGCATGGCGCTTACGGCTGTAGAACTAAAGACTCTATTTTAGTGTCAAAGCTTTGCATGACATGAGACCTCGCTTTTTTTCTCATCGAGAGAACCTGTGATCATCACTTCTAGTGCGAATGTGCTTGGCAAAGGAACAGTCACTACCAGTGCTTAACGTCTTATGTTTGACGCTGCGCTGGGACCGGGAATCGAACCCGGGCCTTCCTCACGAAGCGAGCGCCCTCTTACTAGGCGACAGGTACACAAAGTAAGAAAACACAATACTATTAAACAAACTGTAGGAATTTAAAGACAAGGAATGTACACAATGGTGTATCGGCTTAAAAATCGGCTTTATCCCCATCAAAAATTTCTAAAAATATCAAAAATGATATTTAAATATTGCACTAGAAAAAATAAATAAGAAGATTTCCTTTCAGAATGATTGAATATTTCTAAATATGTGTATATTGTAAGGGCTTTATTAAACACGCCATAAAATATATATGTTTTTAAACAACCACACCTTGAAAAAAAATCATGCATTCTGGAAAATCAGTATTTATGCAACATAGTTTAACGATTCTGCTGAGATAAAAAATCATCTTTAGGTATAAACTATTTTCTAGCGTGGTGCTTCATCCTTTACATAACATAAGGAAATCGAGCAAACATTTATCTTTTTGAGATAAGTATGAAAGTTACATTCCATTATGTTAGTATATTTCCCAGCGAAACGTAGTATTTGATGTTATTGTAAAATAAAATGTAAAGATACAATATATAGAAGTAAAAAACAAATTGATTGTGCAATAATTTTACCTCATTTTTCTTACAATTAGGCCTTTATTATTCAAGCGTGCATATGAATGCTATTTAAACATACACTCAGGATAAAAAAAAAACCCACTCTGTTCCTTTACTTAAAAGTGCAGAATTATTTTAAAAATAAATATAAATATGATGTATTAGAAAACAAATCCACCAAACCGCTTGTCCTTTTGAAAAATGATGTACGTGTTCTCTTGATTTTACTTTTTTTTTTATCTTCAAATGATGGTCTTGTTGCTCTTGAGTGCATTTGATAAACGAACTTAAAAGCAACACACTGTTACCTGTCAAGAAGATAGATTAAACACATCTCTCAATTTTTAAAATGATCTTTTCCAATTGTCAAGAAATTAATTTATATAAATCAAAGACTTTCAAAACATTGTTTGTTTATTTTAAGTGGGGAATTGGAACAAGGTATTTTGACGGTTCATTAACCTTCGATCAGAGTTAATTTAATCATGTGTACTGTTGTTTTGTGTAAAACAGGTGCGAGAGTTGACCCAAAAGTAATGTTACAGCTGCTATAAAATCTTAAATGATCAAATGTTATCAACAAAGTTTGATATAATAATACCTCTATCTATTTTGATTTTTTCCTTGAAATTTCCTTTGTTTATATAAAATATTTTTTAAATTATTAAGATAAACACAACGTTAGGTTTTGTCTATCGCCGCTGACGTCGTTATGACGTTATACTTTTGGGTACTCATTCTCAGTTCATCTGCATATCTTTTTAACTTCTCACGTGCTCCTTTTTAATAATCTTTACTGCCATTTTGGTATAAACCGTCTTGTTTTGAGTTGTAGTTTTAAATTATTTGAACCTTGTGTAAATGTGTCGAAGAAAAACGTTATAATGAGGTCTATACATTCTTGCAGTGCGGCGATAGACAAGACCCAATGATGTGTTTATTTTAATATTTCATAAAGTTAAATAAATCTGAATGAAATCTTAGCAAAAAAGTCAAAATAGATAGAGGTATCAATAAGTAAAATTTTATTTGGAAATCTTCCGATTATTTAAGATTTCTCACAACTGGTTTTAAGATCAGGTGTGACATTACTTTTGAATCAACTCTCGTTAAGTCATCTTGAATACACAACTATTCCTTAATGTCATGTGCAGAAGGAAAATTAGTTAATTTAGCCTAGGGCATATTGTTTACAAAGATTTAAATAAATATGCAATGCTGAACAGTGTGCAAAATGATAATAAATTCAGCAATAAAAGAATTATTACAAGGGTATACCATATTATGTGGAGGACAGGGTGATACCAATATACTGAAATATTTGAAATATGTCACATTAATTTACATATTTAAATCATCTCTATGGTAAAAAAAAATAACGATTCACAAACGAAAACCCATTGACATATACAACCAGTAATCTTTTTCTGCCTTATACTTGTCAAACACATCGATTTGTCCGACTAGCGTGCGGTTCACAAAAAAAAAAAAGATCCGTCGAGTCCCATTTCAAAGTTTCACGGTGATAGGCTTAGCTCAACACCTGTTACACTGTATCATGGGTACAGTCACACTGGGCAGTAAAACTGGATGCAGAAGCGTTGTTTTTGGGTGGCATAATATAACCAGTTATTTTTTTGGTTATGTTATAAAAGTAAGTCTTGGACAATATCCGTTGTTTTAGCGTAAACGGGGAAGAAGGAATGTTGGCGGTTAATACAGTGTCGGCGCTGTGGGGCCATAATACAACGTAAACGAGAAAGGTGTCGTATTCCTAATGATCTTCCAATATAAAGGCCAAGGACTGGTAAAATCAGGTTTCCGAATTTATAATAGACGATGGTAAATAACAATCAATATGAATTTAACAATAGTTTACAAGTCTTAACCGAGTTGGATGTGGCCGGTAGAGCATCGGGCCTCCAAACTGAAGAAAGTATAATGGATATAGCTTTTTGTTAGATAGAGAGTAAACAATAACTGCATTATGACACTGGCTGAATTCATTGATGGAGATGTGTGTTTCTTTGATAGACTGGACATGAAAGACATTGCTAAATAATTATATAAACAAAGTTATTGATATAAGATTAACAGGTCCTGAGGCATTACACCTAACGAGAATCAATTCTTTTGACAGTCACTGGAATGTCTTAATCCTGCTTCAAAGAGAATGAGACACAATCAACTAAATAATAGACATACAATGAAAATAGATAGAAAATTTAACAGATAAATGTCCAAATTTAGTAAAATATATTAAAAAACTAGAGCAGAGCTCGTTGCAAAGCAACGAGTAGGTCTTCCGTTGGAGCTGCGAACAGGAAGAAGTGACCTTGAGTCAAGGTCATGCCACATTCTAAGGTTATAAGCAATCTTGTAAGGGGTATCAACTTGCAATGTCTCACCAGTAGAAAGACAGTAAAGGAATGTTGTTTCTCTGTTGATGACCTTGAACTCGTTCAAATGACCTTTCATCAAACCATGACACACTCTGGTTATAATAATAATATAATTTTGCCGATATATAGATTACTATAGTAAACATAGATACTATAACTTGTGCCCCCTCAATAAAATTGTCTGATGCTCCTTTTTTTAGCTTGTCAAGGAATTTTTGGTAGTTGATGACCTTTTTTTTTGTTTGTCAGGAAATTTATGATAGTGCCCCCTCAACTGTCAACAGAAAATGTATGGCTGTGCCCCCCCCCCCCAACTGAATTTGCTTCCTACGGGCCTGATCAAGGCAATGATACACTCTGCATGATATCAGCGATACCCTTTTGTATGTTTCGGACAAGTTTACACTTTATATTTATTGCATGAAAGTGAGGGAGACATGAAGATTTCTTCGCCCATAAAAAGTCATATTATCCGAGGGCAACATGAAGATTTCTTCGCCCATGAAAAATCATACTCATCGAGGGCAACGCCCGAGGGAAATATGATTTTTCATGGGCGAAGAAATCCTCATGTCTCCCTCACTATTATGCAATAAATTGTTTATAATACCGAATTAAGCACAATGCAGGAATTATAAAGGAGATCCAATGAATAAAGCAAAC